GCCTAAATCCCCAAGTTACTTTTAATAAAATGTTTATCTTCATATTTCATATAAAAAGGTAGTGCGAGTCTGACTGTATTACATTACTGAAAATTAACCTATAAAATTACAAGTAGGATGTCGTATATCAAGAAAAGATAAATACACAGAGATCTAAAATAAAGAAAACATGCTGAAAAAATATCACTAGTACTTTCTACTATGGAAGCTTTTCATTTAATGATTTTATTGTTTTAAAGATCAATTTACATTGAAAAAAGTTACGCTATATGTATTCACTGTCCATCTTTCATGTGAAATGAGAAAAGAGAAAGTATTTTCACATCTTGCTTTAGGATTCATTTCTCTAGCATGTACAGGAAAACTGGCTAAAATACTGTCTCATCCTGAAAGAAAACTTCAAAAAAGGCTAGACTTTAGATTAGGGTAAACATTCACCATCCTGAAAAAGTAAGCATTCAACATATAACCAGAGTTGTTTATAACTATTTATGGGTTTGAATGGCTCAGTCAAAGTCCCGACTAAAATCTAACAGAGAATCTGTGGCATGACTCTTGCCATTTCCAGATGTTCTCCATCCAACCTAACTGAGCTAATGATATTTTAAAAAGAACAATGGACAAAAATGACACAAGAAAAAAAACTGTATCTCTAACAGCGGTAAAGGTGGTTGTACAAAGTATTGACTTAGAGGAGCTGAATTCATTGCATGCTGCACTTTTCAGATTTTAATTAACATCATTTTATACCCAGATGTTTCTGGGAAATCATCATATACGGTGCAGGGAGAGGGACAAAAGTCTATTTAGGCCACAATAAACACTTACAAATATTGCTTTCTCGGTGCTACAAATGTTGATGGGATTCTCACAAATTAAAAAATTAAAATCAGAATTGAGAACCACATTGCTTTTATTTCACACTTATTACTTTGTGCTAAGTCCTTTCAAGGGATGTAAGTACTTATGAAAGGCAGTATACATGCAAAAGTAACTAATAAAATAAAATAAAATACCATTAAAAAATCTATGCAAGTAGATTTTCTTTCCCGATGCTGATTTATGGCCTCTTTTTACTCGAACAGGTCTTTAAATATTGTTTGCATCGCACGCCAAATTCCTGACGGTAGATTTAATAGTCATTGATAAAATAATAAAATAAAAATAAATATTGACTATTTGTTCGATATATAATACTTACAAAATATTAACTTTGCAGTTTAATTAAAAACAATTTGGGGATATAAAGTGCGCAAGAAATTCTCTGCAACATTACTCTGTGATTGCAGGAGGATTCATCACCCATCACTTGACTTCCGCATTTAATATACAATTAGTTATTGCGTCATTCAATGTTGATGTTGAAATGTCTTTACTTTATCAGGAGGCACCACACTAAATATATGTATAATTAGCTAGAATTTTCTCTGAAACGGTTACCAAACCACATGACGTGTCAGACCTGTCAAACGGGTCTAACGAGCAACCGGTGTTAACTTACACACACAAAAAATATAACCTAAGAAAACAGACCGAGTACTCATCAGGTTAATGGCCACTAAAATTCTTACAGCGTAGTTCCTCTCGTTAGTTAAGAAACCGGTGACTAACCTGCCCTCTGTAACTTTATCTCTGGGGAAAACGCCATGTCCAACATCCTGCGCTGCCGAGCGAGCTCCGCTTCATAATCCTCTACTCTCTTCTCAAACGCTCCCAGGATCTCCTGAGCTGCCGCAGTCAGGCGATCGCAGACAAACTTGCGCATAGTTTGAACTGGATACATGGTCAAAACGGACATAAATACACTTCACATAAGAAAATAATCAGCAACCCGAACGGTTGATCCAACTTGGTTGGAGTCTACTGTTTACTTCCGCGTTGGACTTTAGGTGATACAGGAAAAAAAAAACATGTTTGAGCTCGGAGCGCCACCTGCCGTTAAGGAATGGAAGTTATAATACAATGGTTGCCTGCATTTTTCTTGTTCACCCCGAAAAAGTTTGTTTTTTAACGATTATTTTATTTTAAAAAGACATCTTAACTGATATCTAAGTAATCGTTGAAGTGTCTCTCAGCACTAACTGATTAACTGAATAACAATTTTAATGACGCAAGTAGCTCTTCAGTAATATTTTTTTTCTTTGTTACCTTGGGTATAACTGATGCCCCCAGCCCCAAATATTACCTGATAATCGTAATGTAATAACACTTAATAATAAAAGTCTTAGTTCATTCCTTTTGTCAAACTTTAATTACATTGAGTCAATATCTTCCTGCACTATGCTGTAAATATTTTTATTCTCTGAAGGTGCACAAAAATTCAACCAAATTGACCAAATTCAACTCTCAATGTCTAATTTAAGTTTTCTAGAAAATCAATTCTATTCAGTCAGTAAGAAGGCAGTCAGAGTGATATTCACTATCACACAAAAAGACTAATTGCACTGCTGGGAAATAGTTTTTCTTTTACTTTTTGCTTCAATTCAACCTCTGTATTTCGCAGTTTTAGGAAGAATGGGAAAGGCATGTTTTGGCATCAACCCCAAACAACAAGTTGGACAGTAAATTGTGTCCAATGATTAGTGTGGAGACCTGGCCACCCCAAGCTGCAGCTCTTTGCTGTGGTTCTTTCACAATAAGAGTTGGGATTTTTTTTTCCACTTCCCCTTCCTCCCTGCTCACTGTGTGTGGTGAAAAAATATTTTAGTAGCCAGTGGTTGGAACAATTTGCCTGTATGTCATATGTTAAAACAGGGAACCATGAGGTCACATGTTTATGTAGAAAACATTATTATTATTGTGTCAAGTTATTTGACAAACTAGAACTTGGATCTAATGTGAGCTATATGCCTC